GAACAAATCTTCCGCATACGCTTGTAACTCATCAACTAGAACAAAAGCATAATCAATTTAAATGTCACCAGATTCAAAGACTTACAAATGATTTATGGATAGACTGCTTATCCAAAAAGGACCATTCTAATCAAACCCAAATATCAAATGATTGCCATGGGATTTGAGTGTCAAAGAAGATAGCCTGAGAACTTGCATTTCTCTCCCCAGTAAGATACTCAACCTTGGGTGAATCCTCATCTTCTCTTCTCTGGGAGGTAAGGGGTACCCACAATCTGCCTTTGAAATGCGGGGAACAGCAAGTTTGTTTAGAGCTGGGAATGTGACTCAGTGGTCAAGTGTCCCTGAGTTCAATCCCCGCTTCCAAAAAAAAAAGGAAATTTGATCACGTCACTTCCCTGTTTTTACTTCAAAAACTTCCCAGTGCTCTCACGATAAACATGGCTTAGCACAGTGCTGCCTAAAGGAAATATAATTTGAGCTACATATGTAATTTTGAAAATCTCTAGTAGAAACATTGAAAAAAGAAAAAAATTAGCATCTTAATTTAATTCAATACATCCATCACATTATTGTTTTAGCATCTAATCTAGCATCTTTGTTTTGGTGCTGGGGATCGAACCCAGGGCTTTGTGCATGGGAGGCAAGCACGCTACCAACTGAGCTATATCCCCAGCCTGGCGGTGTTATATACTTTTGCTGTCCTTAAATACATCTAAAAATATCTTTGCTTGTGCCTTGTTTTCTGTTTTCTTTTTTTTTTTTAATACTGAGGATCAAGATCAAACCCAGGGGTTCTTAACCACTAAGCAACATCCCCATCCCCAGCCATTATTATTATTATTATTATTATTATTATTATTTAAATTTTGAGACAGGTCTCACTAATTTGCTGAGGCCAGCTTGAACTTGCAATCCTCCTACTTTAGCATCCCAAGTTGTTGGTATTACAGGCTCTTTGAGAATTTTTGTTGTTGTTGGTGGTGGTGTTTTCAGTGCTGTGGATTGAACTCAGGGTCCCATGCATGGTAAAAAAGTGCATTTGAGCTGAATTCCCCACAGCCAGCTTTCTTTTATATATATATACATATATATATATATATATATTTAGGTGTAGACGGACACAACACAATGCCTTTATTTTTATGTGCTGCTGAGGATCGAACCTGGGTCCCGCTCTGGGTAGGCGAATGCTCTATCACTGAGCCACAATCCCAGCCCAGCCAGCTTTCTTTAGGAGGTTGGAAGGTGGAATGGTCCTTCCAGCAGTAGCAAAGAATGATGAGAGTAAGAAAAAAGCAGTCTTCGGATTTTTATTGCCTGTCCTGGGTGTCATGGAGCTGGTGATATGGCAATAAGCAAGACCCACAGGGTCCTTGTCTTCCTGGAGTTTTACAGTCGAAACTGTAAAAGGGAAAAAAGGCAGACAGTAAGCAATTTCACTAAAGGGTAATGATTATTAGGATAGTGGAAATGTCAGGGTAAAAGGGCAGGGGAAGGGCTTTTTCCCAGAAAAAAGAAATATATGAAGGTTCAGAGCTTGGACACAGAGTACAGAATAAGGTGGGAAGAGGAGTCAGAGGGTAGTGGAAGCCTGTTGTGCAAGGACTTCAAGACTTACCCAGTGCAGGGAGCAGCCATTAGCCCCTGTGGTACTGAGCACTTAAAATGTGACTCGTCCCAAATGAGATGTACTGTAAGACTGGATTCCAAGATTAGTGCAAAAAAGATAAAAAATACATCATGAACAATTTTATATTGATTAGATGCTAAAACAATAATGTGATGGATGTATTGAATTAAATTAAGATGCTAATTTTTTTGTTTTTTCAATGTTTCTACTAGAGATTTTCAAAATTACATATGTAGCTCAAATTATATTTCCTTTAGGCAGCACTGTGCTAAGCCATGTTTATCGTGAGAGCACTGGGAAGTTTTTGAAGTAAAAACAGGGAAGTGACGTGATCAAATTTCCTTTTTTTTGGAAGCGGGGATTGAACTCAGGGACACTTGACCACTGAGTCACATTCCCAGCTCTATTTTGTATTTTATTTAGAGACAGGGTCTCACTGAGTTGCTTAGTGCCTCACCATTGCTGAAGCTGGCTTTGATCTCGCAATCCTCCTGCCTCAGCCTCTGGAGCTGCTGGGATTACAGGCGTGCACCACAGTGCCTGGTTCAAATTTCCATTTTTTTTTTTAAGTTTTGGATGGACACAATACCTTATTTTATATATTTATATATGGTGCTGAGGTTTGAGCCCAGGGCCTCACACATGCTACGCAAGCACTTTACCACTAAGCCACAACCCCAGCTCCCTCAAATTTCCATTTATAACAGACTGAGGTGAGGAGACAAGATGGCAGGAAGAAAAGACTAGAGGTGGGAAGCCCAAGGAGGATGCTTGCAGTGGTCCGGGTGAGAGATGCTGAGCAGTGTGAGCAGAAAGAACTTTTCAAAAGTACAATTGCTAATACTCAACAGCTCTTATTTCAGCGAGAAAGGAGAGATTGAACCATATAAAATTCCCATCTTTGTAAATCAAAAATGGGCATGGTGGCTCAACCAGCAACTTGGCAGTTTGAGGCAGGAGGATTAGAGGTTCAAGGACAGCCTCAGCAACTTAGTGAGGCCCTAATAGTGAGGCCCTGAGCAATTAAAAATAATAATAATAATAATAAAGAGTTGGGGATGTAGCTCAGTGGCAAGACATCTTTGTATTCAATCCCCAAAATGAGAAAAAAATGAATAAATAATGAGGGAATTAGCATTTGCATGTTAAAATAATCATCACCTCAGACAAGATCCATAGACGGATACTACAATGAGTAGGGAAAAGGATAAGCAGATAAAGTTTTTTTTTTTTTTTTTAATAGTACTCCCTCCAAATATTTAGTAATTTCAAAGAGAAAAGTAGTGAGTTTATAGTGGAAAATTCTAGCAGACATTACCTTGGCCAAGTGAGGTTGGCAACACAGCAATGCAGATCTTCCCCAGTATGATGTGCTGAGGGCATTATGACTCTGTGGTGGCTTTCTCAATTAATGCATAGCCTCAGTGTAATCATGGAAAAAATATTAGACAGATGCAACTTGAGGGGCATTTTGCAAAATTACTGACAAGACCAAGGAACTGCCAGACTGAAGAGAGTCAGGACAACCATGTGGCATTTGATATAATGGATTAGATCCTATAATGACAGTAGAAAAACTAGTGAAATCACAGTAAATTCTTTAGTTAATAGTATATGATTAATTTCTTAATTTTTTCTTTCTCTCCCCCTCCTTTTTTTTTTTCTTTTGATTTTTGAACCCGGGGCATTTTGCCACTGAGGCACATCCCTGTCCCAAGCCCTTTTTATTTCTTGAGACAGGATCTTGCTAAATTAAGGCTGGCCTTGAACTTTCGACCTTCCTGCCTTAGCCTCCACAGGTGTGCACCACCATATCTGGCTTAATTTCTTAGTTTTAGTTAGTGTGCTATGGCTATGGAAGACATTATCATTAGAAGCTGAATGAAAGATATAGGAACGAAAGATATAGGTACTAAGATATATATATATATATATATATATATATATATATATATATATATATACATACATACATACATACATATATACATACAGGAACTATTTTTGCAAATTTGCCGAAGTCTAAAATTGTCTAAAAAGAATTGTTAAGTGGTTGTCAGCAATTTCACCTAAACATGTCAGACAAGAAACAAAATTGAGGAACTAAACCTACATTAATACTTTAATATACTACATATTTATTTGTTTTGGGGCAACTTGTTCATGAACATCAGAGACTGCATCAACGTTTAAATCAAAAATACTCTTTTTGAATGATTTACTTACCAAATTCCTAAGGAGCTGGATGCACTGGCGCACACGGTAAACCCAGAGACTAAGGTAATCCCAGAGGCTAAGGTAAAATGATCATAAATTCCAGACCAGCCTCAGCAATTTAGGGAGACCCTAAGCAACTCAACAAGACTGTTTCAAAATAAAAAGGGATGGGTGTGTGGCTCAATAGCAAAGTGCCCCTGGATGAAATCCCCAGTACTGAAAGAGGAAAAAAAAATCTTAAGTAAAAACTCAGAGGTCAGCTAGGATTGGGAAGAACACAGCAACAGATAGCAGTTCCACAAGGACTGAGCATTGGAATAGGTAGAGTCCTTCAACCATTTTCCTCCATCCCCATTTCTTGATACCTGCCACCATGAGTAACTCCAGGGGAGTGAGGCTGGTCCACATTTCCAATCACCAAAGGTGCACATCTGTAAGGCCTCTCTCCAGCAGATGTGTCATATGTAGGTGGTATAGTTTCCGAGAAAAGTAGCAACAGGTGCATAGATGACTAGAGACACTTGTCCCACAGATGGTGATAAGTGAGTACGTGGCCCCTTACCATGGTGTTCAATAGCAAGCCAGACTCTTGCTTGATCAAAGGCTAACTTGGGCACTGTGCAAAATTATATTCCATAGACCAACTAGCTTTTACCACCCCTACTGTAGTCCTTCCTACTGATGAGTGACTAAAAAGTATTTTCCATTTAAGTACCAATGTTTATTGTGTTTTAGGTGTTACTGGTCTTTTAACTAGACTCTTGGGATAACAGGTCAGTCTTTTCAATGGCCATAGCAGTTTCATTACTTGTAGTAATTACTTTCATTACTTGTAGCAGCCTTTTTATCTTAAATGCTACTGAACAAGGTTGCTGAAAGCCAGAGCTAAATTTCAACCTCAAATCATCAAGAACGTTTAAAAAATTAAAATGTGTTGGTTTCTTGGAACTGGCTAACATGTCATCAACAACAGGGATACCCAGTCTCACTTTGTATACTAAATAGATCCATATAAAAGACATACTCCTACAGTTTCATATTTGAATGAAACCCTGAGAGAAATTCAGATACTAAGTCCTCAGATTGTATGAGTGATAAATATCAAGGTGAGAGTAAGAATTTTTTTAGCAAATGCAACAAACCAATTATATATACCAAAGGAAATTCTTTATTGTAAACAAGATATAAAGTACAACAAAAGAAACATTGTGCAAATTATCATGAGGATTTTTTTAATGGGAAAACTGTTTTCCAAGGGTCCCAGTCTTCAGAAATCTATACCCAACATATAGGAAAATTTTAAATGGGAAGATAACAGTGACATTTTCCACTATATATTTCAAACTTACTTTTGTTTTAACCACTGTGTATATCATCCACTATACAACAGAATATAACAGAAATACTGTTAACAAAAGTGAATTTTCTAATAATTTTTCTACCTACCTATTTCCACATCCCCCCAAAAACTCCTATAAATTAACAGGACATTTGTCCATGTGTGAATAATCATCACAAGCTTTCTAATTCAATAAAGCACACACCGTGTTCTCGTAAGGGTTCTTCACTGATGACATAAGCCATCTTTTTCAAGGAGTTATCTAAAATTCTTGATATCCCTTCTTTACAATATATATTTTCATTTTCAAAATTTTTTTTCTAAACAAAGTGCAGTGTATCTTAAGAATCTACAGAAAACATGTTGGTATACAGTTTTCAAATCTACACAACAAACTGCAGGCAAACTAAAGTCCAAAGCATAATAAAATGCCTAAATACAGTCATTTGTTAAACTTGCAAACAAAAGTGAAAAAAAAAAATTATTGCTACTTTTCAAAGCAATTAAATTAATGAGGATTCCAATTCTTTGGGCCCTCTTTAGCAATGTACAGCTGTTCAATTCCAAATATCAACAATAGTGTAAAATGATAGTTCTAAATATATTTAATAACTACATCCACAAAGTTGACTGGAAAGACTAGGAATAGCAAACAAGATAACTCTAGGAAAAGATGACAATATTTACCTAATAATACAAACTGATTTTCTGTCTCCATTCCGTACCGTAATATTTCTAGTCTTTATATTCTTGAAACCAGTACTTTGAAGAATCACATTGAAAAGTTGGTCTCAAGTATAAACAGCAAAAATAAAGTAACAAATGTGCACACAAATTCAAAATCTGTGCTACCTGTGTTGACCTCATCTGAAACCTTCAAAAAATACTCAAAGGAATAAAAGCCCTCTCATCTCTTTTAAGAAATGAAACCTGCCGTTCTGTGACCTGCCTGTGGCTGAAAGCACTTCTTGTCATCTAACCCAGGCTGGGCCTTCACCTCGGGCTGTGGGGCTTCTGCTTTTAGCCCCCACTGGAGGGCCACAGACTTGCAGTGGAAGCATTTGGATACCACCACTGGTTCTTGGCTGTGACCAAAGATAGTTCTGATTCTTCACCTTCCAATCTGTCACTGTGTGGGTGCAGGAGTTGGAGGGAGAGCAATGTCATTTAACTTGCTCACTTCCATTTGCCAATTTGGGAGCTTCTTGGCTGACAGGTGACGCCGGGCATGCTTCGTTAAATGGTCACTCCTCATGAACCGCCGATCACACATGGGACAGGCAAATTTCTTCTCACCTGTGTGGGTTCGCCGATGTCTGGACAGTTCATCAGAACGTGCAAACCTCCTGTCACAACCCTTCCAGCTACAGCTGAAAGGCTTTTCCCCTAAGACAAAGAAATCAAGAGCACTATTACTATACATTTATTAAATCTTTAAAAATTAATGTTCAACCATATCTAAAGGTATGAGATATATTTAGAATATTAAGTTAATAAACTATACATTTTCAACTTTCACTCATCACATTTATGAAATTTCCCCTCAATAAAAGTTGAAACCAAAAAGGCTTTCTGACCTCAACTAAGGTTTAATGGTTTTAAAGATACTTTGTTAAAGAAAACTACTCAGATATTTAAATAAAAGTCATTTGAGAATAAAACAAAAGCACTAAGAAGTCTTTCAGTGGACCTTGCACTGGTAAATCAACATCACCCACTGAAATGACTTCAATATGCTTAGTCTGTATTTGTTATCTAATGTGGGGGGACATCTCTTCATTTACATTCATCTTAAAGACATAAACAACCAATGGTAGGTACCTGTATGTGTTCTCATGTGGGCCTTTAGATGAGAACTCTTAAAGTAGGTCTTGCCACATCCTGGATGGCTACAGATGTGACTTCTTATCCTGGATGAATCAATCTGAGGAGTGACTTTAGCTGCTGAAGGGGAAAAGCCAGGAGCAGGGGCAATGGGAGAGAGTTTGGTGCCATTGGGGCTCACCACTGGAGGCTTTGGGTTCTGCACAACAGGCTGGGGTACCACAAACATGACAGCGCCTTTGGGAACCTGAGTACCCATGAATACCACAGGGGGGCAGACAGCTGGTGGCTGGCTGGGTGGAGTGCTGGGAACGACTGTTGTCATGACAGGGTTGCTTGTAGGCAGGGGAACCATCTGACAGATGACAGGCATAGGTGGCACTCCCCCTGTGGATACCGCAGGTGGGGAGACCAACACAGACTTCTGCTGTGGGGAAGTGGGGGTTGGCTGAGACCTACAGATGACTGTCTCTGAGGAAGGCACAGAAAAGTCATAAAGTGCAGTGCCCGCTTTCTCATCAACATCTGCCACTGCATTTCGCTCACATTTGGATCTGTTTGGTGACACAGCTGCACAGGGTATGTTTTTTCTTGCAGCTTCAATATTTAGGTGGGTTCTTCTTCGAAAAGAATTGTCCTGATAGTTGAGGATGCTAGCTGCCTTCACAGGGCAGGATCGGTGGTTACACAGCTGGGCATCAGCTGTATGACGGATCACACTTGTTGCTTGAGCCTTGGGGAGTTTGGGGGTAGATACTGAGCTCTTCTCTTCCTCTTTGAAAGGTGCAGCACTGTGAGGCTTGGCAGTATCTGAGAATGATTTGAAGTGTCCGGTAGATGGCGCTGGTGCCATCAGATTTGACACTTGAGAAGGTTCAAAGTCAGAGGGACTGTAAGGTGGAGTCAAACACTAAAGAGAAACAAACAAGAAATGGTGTGAGAAATTAAAGAGTTAATTAGGTAAATTTGTAAGAAATAACACCCATCTTAAGAAAAGTAATACTTACAAATGCGGGAATTGTATGAAAATCAGGTGTCCCTGGAAGCAGATTCTCTTCCTCAGACATATCAGATACTGGTGTGACAGGTCTATTTTCAAGGTATTTCTTAAAATCAGACTTCCAACTGCAGCTCATTGACATAAGTGCTTCTACAGCTTCAAAATCACTTTTCTCTGCAGTTTTGTTCCAAGAATACATATTCTCTTTTGACCTTTCAGAAATCATTTCCATTCTTTCCTCCTATAAAAACAAAAAGATTAAAGCTCATAAGTGTACTTTATCTTTCAAAATGAAACAGAGAAATGTACTAATGCTTTTTATTTTCAACTTGCACAACTCTCCAAGTTAGAATTTGAAATATATATTTTTCTAATTCCTACTCTAATACTTAGAAAGTTCAGCTACACTTATCAGGTGACCCAGACAAAAAGTGTCTTACAGTTTTTGTAGAGTAGTCATCTACAACAAAGATGAGACAACTAAGGAAGGTCTCTGCAAAAAAAGTTCTTTCTTCTCAACACTACAGATATGCTACAAGGCTTGTGAGGTAAAAATTCCTAATTGGGGGGGGGGGGGGGGGAAGAAAAGCCAAAACTTTCTTCTTATATAGTGGACAGAGCTCTGGCCTGTTATGGGTCTGACCTAATCAGGGATCACCAGGGTTTCTTCCAAGTGAAATTGTTTGAAAACTTGATTATCTTAGAGATCAAGTGAAATATGTGGGGAAATTTCCCAAGCATAATTTTAGTCAAGTTTCAACCTCTTCATGACTATGTACCCTTTTACTGGATCTATTTTTTTTTTTTAACTCAATGCATTATTTGCTAGGAAAAAATCATGACCAGCCAATGCAATACTAAAAACTGGATAATCAGGTATTATTCTCAAAGCTTGTTTTAAAAAATGCATGATCCCTTCACACCGATATCTTAAGAAAATGAAATATCATTAACAATGAAATTGCATAATCGAGCCCGCATTTATGTAGGCTTTAATGGCAGAGTCTGTATATGTAAAAGCCTTCTCAAGACACCAATGCAAAGACAGGGAAAAAGGCAAGTAGGGGGAAGGAGAGCGTGAGCCGGTAAGAGGTAGGAAGGGAAACGGAGGGGAGGAAAGGGAGTGGGGCGAGAGGCAGGAAAGGGAAGCGCGGGCTGAGGCTCCGGTGAGGGAGGCAGACGGGGGGCGGAGGCGGACAGCGGGGGAGATCCTCGCTGGCGGGGACCGACCGGGCCGCCCCAACCTCAATGAAGCTGCCGGGTGAGTCACTGGGAACATTCCTCACCGCGCTCACGTCCCCGCGCCCCAGCCCCCGCCATTGGCCAGCCGGCCGGCGGCCCGGCCCCGGATTGGCTGTGAGGCCCAGGGCGGGGGCGTGGGGGAGGAGGGGGCGAGGCATGTGAACAAAGCGTGATCAGCGGCTGCTCGGGGCGGCTCAGGAAACGTGAACTGGGAATTGCCGCGCCGTCACCTTTCCCCTACTTCCTGAACCGGGGCCCCCGCCCTTACGCCGGCGGGGAGGGGCTGTGGGTGCACCCGCCAACCACCCGACAGTGCGCGCCGGGCCGCGGGGGAGCGAAGGAGGAGACAGGCGGAGAGGGGAGGGGAGCAGAAGGGAGGGGAGAGCAGAGGGAGGGGCGGGGCGGCGCCGGCTCAGGAGGCGCCCGCCCCTTCCAGCTCTCCTGAGCCGCCGTTCCCTTAGGAACAGACAGCGAGGCCGAGCCTCGCTCCCGCCCCTGGCGGGGGCCGGGGCTGGGTCACTCGGGGACGAGGAGCTCCCCGGGCGCACCCGCTCCCGGCCTCCGCCTCAGCTGCGGAAGGAGGAGCTGGGTCCCCGCGGAAGGCTGGCCGCCGCCCTCCTCCCGCCTGCAGTCCCCGGGGAGCCGGCCGAGCCCTAGGCGCTTCCCGCCCACGCGGCCCGCAGGACCTCAGACCACCCCGTCTCTCCCCGCAGACGCGGCGCCCCCTCCCCGCGGTTTCCGGCAGCTTTCGCCCGCCGCCGTGCAGCCGTTCTCAGACGTGCAGCCCCCACAGGCCCTGGCTCCAGACGCTCGGCCCCCACGGCCCACAGCTCCCGCCTTGACACGCAGCCCCCGTGTCACGCAGCCCCCGTGTCTCGCAGCCCCAGCTCCCCCGCCCACCTTCCCGCCCAGCTTCTGATCCTGTTCCCCCACCCTTCGACCCCGGAGGCAACTCCCTGCCCCCTCCGAGGAGTCGTCAGAAGGCGGCCACCTGCCTTCGCCGGAGATGGGAGTCCCTCTCGACGTCTGCGGGGGCTCCTCGTCCCCCTAGGCGACCGCAGGGCCCGCGTGGCATCCCCCGCGCCGATACCGGGCGCCCCTTCCCCCAGCTCCGGGCTATCTGGCCATCTACTGAGCAGCCCCCTTCCGGCGGTCCTCAGCTGGCAGTCTCCGTCCTGCAAGACTCCATTCAGACCCCCTACGATGAGCAGCCTTCTTGCTGCTTCTCTGGACACCAGCCCCTCGAAAGATTGCGAGCAGCCCTTTCCTACCCTGGGTCGCATTCCTGATGCAGACAGGGGCATCTCTCCCTAGAGCCAGGTGAAGGGTGCCCCCTTCCTCCTCTTTAACTACCTCACATTTTCCCCTAACCTCGGTGCCAGAGCAGCAGCCCCCTCCCCACTACCCCCTCGAGAGCCTCCTTAGGTCTCCCAGCGGAGCTGCCCCTGTTCCTCAGTACACCTAGGAGCATAATCCCTCTTCCCGGTCTCCAGGTCCCAGTCGCATCTTCCGACCCTCTCTGCAGCACACATGCCCTCGCTAATGCCCACAGCCTGCAAGCAGGAATTCCCTTCCCTATGACTCTGCTACAGCCCAAATTATCAGGCGTGGCTGATGTCTGGGGCTAGGGTTCGCACCCCGCTAGTCCTCAGACACTGCAAGGAAGAGAAGGACAGGGGCATCCCCAGGTGACTTACCGCAGCCTGCTGGAGAGAAGCGCCGAAGTTGAGCATGGTTGGCTGCCTGGACGCAGGCGGCGAGGTGACTGGCTGGTGGGCTCCTTGGCTTCTTGGCCACAGACGGGCGCACAGAGACACTCGACGCCGCTCCCGCCGCCGCTGCGCTCCGCGCCGTCTGCCCCCTCCCCATTCAGGTAGCCGCTCTGCCTGCCCCGCGCCGCGGGCGGGGGCGGGGGCGGAGCCTGGGGATGGCCAATCAGCAGCAAAGGTGTGTGAGGCACCGGCCAATGGGCTCCCGGGGCCACGCGTGATCAGCGGCTGCCCGGCAGCGTGAAGCTATGTCAGTGGAGCGTGTACACAACCCCCGGCAGCGTGTTCGCTCGGCTCAGCCCTGGGGAACTCCCGTGGCCACCTGACTCAGTGACGCCCCTCACCCCTCGCTACCCCTCGCCGCTTGTCTTCTTCCCTAGCCTGGGGTGGGGGTGTGCAGCGGGCGGGGGCCTAACGGGGAGGCGCGCCCAGGCACTGCGGAGGGCCGGGCTCGTTGGGGGGGGTGGGGAGGGATGCCCGCTCCGCCCCGTCCCTTTCGCGCCGGGCCGGGTCTTAGCCCGCCACGGAGTGGGCGGGACGCCGAGCGGGCGGGGGCGGCCGCGGCTGGAAGCCAAGGGGCCAGAGCCAAGAGATTTGCATTGAAAGTGCCGTCCTTTTGCGCGTCTAGCGAGAAAGCGGAGCCCGGTGACCAACTGAGCTGCATATCTGGAGCATTTGCTGGGTTTTGCCTCGCTAAGCCTTGGGGAGCACCAGGGCCGCGCGGGTGGCGGGAGCCCTGTAGTCGAACAGACACCTGCTCGCGCATCCCCCGCCCACACTCGGCCGCCGGCAAAGGCTTGCCCTCCCCATCTGCGGCGCCGGCAGCTTTGCCAGCTCCTGCCCGCCCCGCCCATCCCTCCTCCTGAGCGACCGAGAGGCTGGCTTGGGGACTGCAGAAAGCCCCGGCAACAGGGCCAGCAGCGTAGCCGGGAGCCTAGACCCGTTTTGTTTTGTTTTGTTTTGTTTTGTTTTGTTTAAATCTTTCTTAGGAGCGGACACTCCGCTGCGAATCGAGTTTGATTTCGGTGTAGTCGAAGTTTAAATTACAGTCTACAAGCTGTTTCAAAGGTAGACCCCACTTTCCTCACCCCACCCCCACACCTCGGACCAGGGCCTTCGGAAACGCCCTGCCTGGAAACCGAGTTGTGGGGATGGGGTGAGGAGGAGCCTGCAGTCTGAGAGCGCCTGGAGGTAGGGTCCCTGGCCAGGTCCAAGACACATGCCGCGCCCCCCCAACCCCCACCCCCACCCTAACCTTATCCCCCAGCCTGCCTCTGACAGGCTGGGTTTCTGAAAGGAAAATCGCCTGTGTGTTGCAGCCAGGGCAGAGGCTGGGAACTCCCAGTTAGACAGCCGTGGCTCTGGTTTAGTTCCTTATTCACCCCTCCCCCCTTCCTTTTGACCATTTGTGCGGGTTCACAGCAGCTGTTGGAGAACAGGGCAGTGATAACCCGGCTTAAAGCAAACCGGAGGTTTATCTTCTCCTCTGGACAGGCCGATCCTGTCGGGATTCATTGCCCTTCCTGCTAGCTGTCTAATTTCGCTGCATAATTGAAAGGCTAATAATGCAAGTCCTTTCCCAATAACCTCAGAATGAGCATAGAATGGAATTATTTTTTTTAGAAACTGATAATCTATGAACATCTTCCAGTGGCTCCTTCTGGTATGCCTAAAGCCCAAGTTAGCCAACAGTAGTAATAATACCATTGGCCAGGGCCAGAGAGGACCCGGGTGGGAGATGAGAACTGAGTGATTCCCCCTGTCACCGCCTCTCCTGAATCTGCTGGAGGAGTGCCAGCTCAGCAGCCCAGGCAGCTCTTCCTGCTTCCCTCCACCCCATACCCCTGCTTCTGTCTGCAGGGGTGTCCCTCCCTGCAGGCTTCCTTCCGCTTGGGCTGTCTCATCCTGTTGATCTGAGCCTGAGGGGCTGGAGCAGCTGGCCTGGGCACCTGCTGCAGCAAAGGAAGCTCCTGTGTGTGCCCAGCCGGCAGGCCAGCCTTCCTTCCTGTCAGGGAGCTGCCTCCCTGGGGTGGCCACGCCAGACCCTCCAGGCCTAAACCCAGTGCCTTCCTCAGGAATGTGGGGCCTGCCAGCATGGTGCCCCAGGGTGCTGAGCAGCAGGGAGCATTCATGACTTCTGGGAGTGATTCAAAAGAGGAAAGAAAAGAGAAAGGGGTAGGAGGAATAGGGTGGTAGTGGCACAATTTCTAGAGATCCAGAGACAGCGGTCCCTCAGGCACCTCAAACTCAATATCACCAAAACTAAAATTGCTGTTTCTACACCTGCATAGGTTCCTTGTCACCCATCCAACATTCACCTTCCTCCCTCAAAGCCCGCGGATCCAGTTAGTCCCCAGGTCCCTGCAGCTTTGCCATAGAAGTGTCTTTTCTTACTATTTCTACCCTTCAAATGTTGTTCTAGGTCAATCTATCTTCAGATCTTGCTTGGATTAAATGACCTGCAATCCCCCTTCCCAACGTCCACCCACACACCAGCTGTTTTTCAGTGCCGAACTCCTTACCAAGAATGGCTTTATTAAACCATAATCCAGTCATGACACTCCCTACTTAAAAATGATCCTTGACTCCCATTGTCAGCAGATAAAGGGCCATCCCATCCTGAGCTATTAGTCTGTCCCCAAGTACTCTCCCAATCCTTCCAACCTCATCTTCCACCCAGACCTTCCCTTGCCCACAGCTACAGCCCATGACACCTGTTTCTCTAGCATGTGGTACATTTTCACATCTCTATGAGATAAACACTGCATTGCTTATGTTTTTGTTCATTAGTCCACTCCATTGAACAAATATTTGTTGAGCATCTAATACGGGTTTTAGGCACTGCAACAAAAGCAGTGAAGTTAGGTCCCTATTCTAAAGAAGCTTGGATAGGAGACAAAGACAAGTAGAATTTACAGGACATGGTATGAGACATTGGTTTTCTTCAGAATTCAAGGAGAGGTCATAGTGTCTTTGGCACCAGGGATTGAACCCAGGGGCACTTAACCACTGAGCCATGGCCCCAGCCCTTTTTATATTTTATTTAGAGACAGGGTCTCACTGAGTTGCTCAGGGCCTCCCTAAATTGCTGAGGCTGGCTCTGAACTTGGGATCCTCCTGCCTCCACCTCCTGAGCCACTGGTTACAGACATGCTCCACTGTGCCTAGCTCTCCCCAGTTGATCTCTAACCTGGGAGAGTTGGTTGGAGATAGAGAGTAGAGAACATTCAGGATGCTCTGAATTATCTGGATTACAATTCGAGAGGCAGGGTGAAGTGCTTAGTCTTTAAGGAAAGCAGCCCAGAGTATAAGAGGCCTTTGTGTGCCATAGGGATGTCAATTTTTTTTTTTTTTTAATGTAGAGCTTTTATCCCAAAGACTTTTGCTAACAAGTGTTAGCAAGGGATGATGGCAAAGGGAGCTCACTGTGGCCCAGTGTTAAGAATGGAGCTGAGGGTGGGACTAACACCAGTGACAAGGCTTTTGAAGTAATGTAGGCAGCAAAGATGAAGCCAGCCTGAACTAAGAAAATGACAGCAGGCGTGGAGAGGCTGGAACAAAGAGCAGGTGGGACCTGGTAGCTGGATTGGGGCACGAGGAAGAGGAGAGTATTGAAGAATACTGCCAGGTTTCTTACTTGGTTCACTAGATGAAACAGGACACCATTGTCTGAGAAAGGGTAACAGAACAGTAAGTAGCTTTGGGGGATAAAAAATGCCAAATTGGTTTAGGACACACAAAGCTGAGGTTACCTGTGAGATATCCAAATAGAGACATACAGGAGGCACTTGCAGTTTCAGGCTGGCTGGAAATTAAAATTCGGGAGTCTTCAGGGTAGAGTGGCAGTTGAAGCCTGGGGAACAGATGAAATCCTCCAAGAAAAGGAAAGAACCAGAGAAAAGCAGAGGAGTAAGAGTGAGCATCTGGGGAATGCACGTGGAGGAAGAGGGAGACAAGGGTAATACAGCAAGAACTCACGATTTTCTGGGCTAATATTCCAGCTAGGAGAGGAGAGGCAAATGAGGGCTGAAAGTGGAAGTGTCAGTAGGAAAAAAAAAAAAAAAAACCAACTCTCACTGGTGATATTATTATCATTACCATGATTGTTAAGCTCATTTAAAATTTTTTTTTAATCTTGAACTCTCTATATTAGATGAATTATTCCTGAAGATGTCCACAACAACTCCTTCTGCCTGCATAACCTTTACTATTTTTGCAGCAAGAGGGGAAATCTGTTTTCCCACCCCTTGATTCTGGGTGTGACTTGCTTTGACTGGTAGAATCAGGGTGGTGCTGTGGGACTTGAAGGTCTTAGGACTTTGAAGGTTCTGTTTTCATCCCCTTTGGAATCAGCCACTGGGCAGGGGAACTCAGGTTAGCCTGTAGAATAATGAGAGACTAATTGGAACAACAGTAGCCACGTGGAGGAAACCAGGACACCCTGACCAACAGCCAAATTCCACATGTGTGAAAAGGGCCACCTGAGACCCTGCAGCTGTCACACAGGCCCAACTGATGCTACATGGAGCAAAGATGAGCCATTCTCTGCAGACTCTGACCCACAGAATCATGGACAATAAACAGAAGAGCAACCCAGGAGGCATTTCCTGCTACCTCCACACAGATTTTTTTGGGCAGGAGTGGCCCAGGGGTGGGGGTTTGGGGGTGGGCTATTCTGCCAGAGATAACTGAAACACTGGGTATGGGTTTGTTTCAGCTCTGGAGACAGTCACAGTTTTCAAAATACTCATTTTTTAGAGTAAATTATCTAAAACATCTGGGAGCAATACCCAGAAAGGAGGACTAGAAAGATTGAAAAGTAGAAAAGGAAGAAAAATTGGACACAGAAAAAAAATATTATAACTTAGAGAAATGGAGTGTGGAGATCTGGAAGGAAAATCTCCCTCACTATCCTCAAGCACTCTAGTGAGCACTCTGAGAGGGAAATGAACTTGTAATGGGAAGGGGAGAGCTGACCTTGAAGGAAGCTTGCTATGTACTGGTTGTTGATTAGCCAAAGAATATGGAAGCCTTAATGTGACCCCCTCTATAAAGTCGATGTTATAACACATAAGTATTTGTT